TCCCCCTCTGTTCAGCACTGGTTAGGCCTCACCTTGAGTATTGTGTCCAGTTCTGGACACCACACTTCAAGAAAGATGCCAACAAATTGGAACAAGTTCAGAGGAGGGCGACAGGGAGGATCAGGGGGGATGGAAACCAAGCCCTGTGAGGAAATGCTGAAAGAACTGGGCATGCTTAGCCTTGAGAAAAGAGGACAGTGTGACAACCCCAGACCTACTGGGATATGCCACAGTTTCACTAAGCTGCCACCAACCATTCCCTATAAGAAGTCACACAGACCAGGGATGGATTTTTAACAAATAAAAGAACAAGGTTTATTTACATAACACACAGGGAAAATAAAATGATCAAATGAATAAGATACAGTAACGTGGCTTAGTCTCAATCATACATACACTAGTTTGGTTCACACAGAACGCATTTAACTAAAGCACAGACCCTGAACCTATCAGTTCTGGCTAACCCTACAGACACCTGAACCTATCAGGTTGGTACTGACTGACACACAGTAGTACCCTGTCTGACACACAGACTCCCACACCAGCTTCTTCTTCCCAGCTGCTGCTTCTTCTCCACACAAGCTCCTCATATATATACAGTACAGCCCCTCCTCCTGATGTCCCGCCTTCCACTCCCCATAGGATGGAACTTTCCCTCCAAACCCATGACAGACACGTAACATCAGTGCTGTATGTAACAATAGCAACCCTTATTAGGGTTTTACACATATAAGGTGCTCAGAAGTGGCTTAGCACTATTTCTTTTTGGTGGCACTCTGGTACTCTGCAGTTTGCCCAAGGTTACACAGGTTTGTTCTTCCCTCCAGAGGCATAGTAGGGAATTAAACTCCTGACTCCTTATTCCACAGCCAGGCATTCCAATTCTAATTAGTTGTTTATAATATTTGAAATACTGGATAAAACTCCAAATCAGTGGTTAAATGATACATGAAAGTCCATGCTGTAAAAGAAATCTGTATTGAAGCTGTTAGTTTAAACAGACTATTCTCAGTACTACATTTTTCCCTAGTCCATCCTCCAGGGCCCTACCCTTATTGGGCAATGATCTAGGTTCTGCTATTCATATTCTCTGCCTAACAGCAGCTTCAGTACAGGTGACACCATGGCAGGAGCAAGAGGGAAGGAAGATGTGAAAGGCTGGGAAACCTGTAAAAACAATCTGCGAAGAGGGTTGTTTTGGTAGTAGATGGTGCCCTCCAATGTGTAGTCTGCATAATTAAATTGCAAACTGCCCAGAGAATGCTTTAAGTTCTATGGGGTGGTATGTAACCAACATACAGTACTTTGTTTTGCTTCCCAAAGAGAGCTTAATTGGCAGTTAGGTGAAATCTATTTCCGTGGTAAGAAATATCTTTTAAATTCTTCTACTTCTAAAACTCTTGATAGAATCCATTGTGGAGGTTTCTTGCTTCACCTATTGTTTTTACTTGTTTTTAAATTTTATTGCCATTGACTTACAAACTGCTCTGGAAATGATACATCTTAATAAATGACATGAGAACATGTGAACAATTTGTACTTTAAAAGACTAATAATTAAATAATAAAGGTAGTTCATCATTCTTGTTGTATACAGTGGTACTTCGACTTATGAATGTCTCTAATTATGAACATTTCAAGTTACGAACGGTTCAGTTTGCAAAATTTTGATTTGACTTGCGAACAGAGCCTCAACTAATGAATAAAAAAAACCTTTCCTGCCCCCTTTTTGACCTAAGTTCATCTTAGGTCAAATGAAGAAAAAATAAAATTAAAAAATCTACCCCTAGTGGTAGAGTATGGATTAACCGGCTTTGCATTAGTTCCTATGGGAACTAATGCCTCTACTTGCGAACAGCGCCTCGACGTAAGAACGAAAAACAACCAGAACGGACTGAATGGTTTTCAGTGCATTCCTATGGGAAATTTTGCCTTGACTTATGAACTTTTCGGTGTACGAACGCCGTTCCAATACAGATTAAGTTCATAAATTGAGGAACCACTATAGTATGTCTTTAAAGTCATAAACAACTGCATGATGCCTTGGGTCCTTTTAAGGAGAAAGGTGAAATAAAAATATTTTAAATAAAATAAATAAAATAGACAAGGAAGGAGTTTATAAAGAAAATAAATCAATTTTAATTAACTTAATTAGATTCCCAAGTTATCAGAACTAGATAATCCAAAACTATATCAAACAGTGTTTTTAGTGACTGGGAAAATGTTTTTATGCACACAGAAAATAAGAAAGAAAAAGAAGAAAAAAGTATGTCAGAACCCTGAAGATGAAGAAGAAGAAAATTCTGAGTGTATAGAAGAACCTATGAAACCAATTCCTCCACCATTAGTTGACAGGCAACAGATAGAACTTCAAGTTCGAGAGAGAGCTGCCACTATCAAACGGAAACCCGGAGAGCCTATTTTAATTCCTGAGTTGCACTTAACAGGCAGTGTCACTCCAAATGAGCTTTGTCCTAAGTGAGTTTGCCCAATGATAATTTTGTAAGAGTGGTGTGAAAATATTTGTTGTTCATTTATTTTGCTGCTACTACATACATCCTTTGAGACTATATGTGAACAAAACTATTTTGCGGCTGCAATCCCCTACTAGAATATTCTTGGTATAGAAAGAGATTAAAAAAGAAAAGCTAGGTTGACACAGGGAGCAAAATATTTAGTGTAGGCATGAGGAAAGTGTCAAGTCTTTGTCAAGTTATGTGGCAAATGTGGGTGGCCTCAGAGAAGCCCCACCCCACTTTTCTCTTTGTCTGAATCCAAACCTTTTGAATTTGTGGCTTCCCTGAGGGGCAGATGTGGTGGCAGAGCAGGAGAAGAGGTGAGAGGTGTGTGGCAGAGCAGGAACCAAAGAAGCCTGAAAGAGCCAGAAGTGAAGCCAGAAGAACTCTACCACTGCCATCATCAGCAGCTCGCGAAAAAACAAAGATAAACTTCCACATTGCTCCTCGGTGGTGTGGCAGAGCACCAGGGAGCTACAGGGCACAATGGTGCACATTTTGGGAACCCCTGACCTAAACTGTTCTTTGGAGAAAAGGCAGGAAAAACATAAAATGATTACAGCAGTTTTGAAATAAACCACAGAAAATAGTCTTGGTTCTTAAGCTACTGCAGTCCCTCTGTTCATTAGACTATGTAGAGGGTGCCTATGGAAGTGAGAGCTGGACCATAAAGAAGGCTGGCCACCAAGGAATTGATGCTTTTGAACTGTGGTGCTGGGGGAGGCTCTTGAGAGTCCCCTGGACTGCAAGGAGAAAAAACCTATCAATTCTAAAGGAAATCAAGCCTGAGTGTTCACTGGAAGAACATATCCTGAAGTTGACGCTCCGATACTTTGGCCATCTATCTTCCACTGCCTCCCAGAGTTGGGTCAAAGTCATGTGGGTAGCTTCCGTGACACTGTCCAGCCATCTCATCCTCTGTCATCCCCTTCTCCTCTTGCCTTCACACTTTCCCAACATCAGGGGCTTTTCCAGGGAGTCTTATTTTCTTATAAGATGGCCAAAGTATTAGAGCCTTAGCTTCAGGATCTGTCCTTCCAGTGAGCACTCAGGGTTGATTTCCTTCAGAATGGATAGGTTTGTTCTCTTTTCAGTCCAGAGGACTCTCAAGAGTCTACTCCAGAAGCACAATTCAAAAGCATCAATTCTTTGGTGGTCAGCCTTCTTTATGGTCCAGCTCTCACTTCCATACATCGCTACTGGAAAAACCATAGCTTTGACTATGCAGACTTTTGTTGGCAAGGTGATGTCTCTGCTTTTTAAGATGTTTTAAAATTTCACTATACTAGTTATAAAATGGCAGAGTGTGACCTGATGCAGTGGTGTGTTCTTAGAACATCTTGAGGAAAGGAGGTTGATTCTTCGACTTGCAGCCGGAGAATCAACCTACAGATCAGAAGAGGGAGGCGGGGAAAGTGACAAATTCAGTCCATAGGCCGTGGATCTGCCTCCGGATGCTTTCCAGGGCTTCTCCGCCGCCATGGGAGGCATCTTGGAGGTCCCCCACTGCCACCAGTAATGCCTCCGAAGCACAATCGGCGGGCTCCCATGGCTGCGGAGAAGCCCTGGAAGGCATCCAGAGGTTCCCTGCTGCTGCCGCCACTTGGCTCCCAGCAGTAGCGGCGGGGGAAGTCCAGGAGTCTGAGCATGGCCAGGATCACCTGGCATGGCTCAGCTCCCAGTAGCGGCAGCGGTGAGGGACCTCCGGAGCCCTTCCCTCCTGCCATGGGAGGCCTCTCGGAGGCCCCCCACCGCCGATAGTGCTTCAGAGGCACTATCGGCGGCAGCGGGGGACCTCTGAGAGGGGAGTAGACCGGGCCTACTGGGGGAAGCCCTCCCCTGGTATGCCTGGTCCACCCTGGGAAAGCCTGCGTCAGCAGGTGCAGGGGACCTCGAAGAGGCCTCCGGCAGCGGCGCTGAAGCCCTTGGAGTCCTCCGGCAGCGGTGATGGCAGAGGTGGGGGACCCCTGGAAGGCTTCGGAAAGGTAAGTTCCCTTTTTAAATTTTTTTGTGGGGGGGCATTTTCTTGGGCCGGTTATGGATTAAATGGTTTTCAATGCATTCCTATGGGAAATGCATTTTCGACCTGCGGACTTTTTGACCTATGGACCCCATTCCAATATGGATTAATTCCGTAGGTCAAGAACCCACTGCAGTTATAGCACCTGCCTTTTCTGCAGAAATGAGTGGTTTTCTTAGAAGCAGGAATAGAAATAGTTTATTTTTATTTATTTATTCAATTTATACCCTGCCCATCTAGACAAAAGTCTACTCTGGGTGGATAATAATACATAGAAGTAAAAACAATATAATAAAATAAAGGCAACAGTAATACTATAATTGAAAATGGCAAAAGTAATTAGGTGAGGACAGGAAGGAAAGCCTGCCTAAAGAGCCAGGTCTTACGTTTGCTCTTAAAAACACCCATCGAGGGAGCCAGACAGATCTCTGTGGGCATACTGTTCCAGAGGTGAGGGGCCACTGCCGAGAAGGCCCAGTTTCTTTTTCTTTCTCTCTGGGCCTCCCTTGGCATTAGGCCCCTCAGCCACCCAACTTGGCTAGAATGAGTGAGTTGGGTAGATCGAGGTGGGAGAAAGCGTTCTGCTAGATGTCGAGGTCCTAAACCATTTAGGGCTTTATATGTCATCATTAACACTTTGGAATCAATGCAGAAATGAATGGGCAGTCAATGCAGGGCAGCCAGAGTGGGGTAAATACAGTGGTGCCTTGCACAACGAGTGCCCCATAGAGCGATGAATTCGCTCTACAGTGACGCTTTTGCGATCGCTAATGCGATTGCAGAGCGATGCCCCCAATGGGCGAAAATTGCAGAGCGAAGGTCGGTAAGCGGTTCGCTTACCAACCTTCGCTTTGCAACCCGCCGATCAGCTGTTCTGCGGCTTCAAAATGGCCACCGGAACAGCCGAAATGGCTGGCCGCAGCGTTTTCACGCCCTTGGTAAGCAAGGGGAGGGCGCGAAAATGCTGCCGGAGCAGCCAAAATGGCTGCGCGCGGCGTTTTCGCGCCCTCCCCTCGCTTACCAAGGGCGTGAAAACGCTGCGGCCAGCCATTTCGGCTGTTCCGGTGGCCATTTTGGACCCGCCGGACAGCTGATCGCAGCCATTTTCGCACCCTCGTTCAGTGAGGGGAAGGCGCGAAAATGGCTGCCGGCCATCGGAGAAACATCGCTGAACGGTGAGTACAGCAACCGATTGGAATGCATTAACACTGTTTAATGCGTTCCAATGGGCTTTTCTGCCCCGCTCAGCGATGTTTCACACAGCAAGGGTTAATCCGGGACAGATTAACCTCACTGTGCGAGGCACCACTGTATTCTGATATATATTCTCACTCCAGTGAGAAGTCTGGCCACTGCATTCTGCATCATTTGAAGCTTCCGCATCAATCTCAAAGGTAGCCCCACGTAGAGCGCATTACAGTAGTCTAATCTCATGATTATAAACTCATGGACCAGAGTGGCGAGTGCCCCAACATCAAACTGGGCAATCTGCCAGATATAGAAACAGGCAGTGCGGACCACTGACACTATCTGGGTTTCCATGGTCAAACCCCCAAGCTGTGCACCTCACTCTTTGCAGTGAGAGTCACTCCCCCAAATCACCAATGGAGGGGCCATCCATCCTGAGAACCTCCGTCTTGTCCGAGTTCAGCCTCAGTCCATTCTCCTGCATTCATTACAGTACAGCCTCCAGGCAGTGCTGCAGGGATGGAACAGCATCCACTGTTGTTGGAAAAAATATGGAGAGCTGGATGTCATCAGCATACTGATGACACGAAGCCCCAGACCCCCTGATGACCGCACCCAGTGGCCTCATATAGATATTAAACAGCATTGGGGAGATAATCAAGCCCTGTGGAACCCCACAATTGAGACTTCATAGAGCCAATACACTCTCCTCAAGCTGTGCTCTTTGAGGACAGTCCTCCAAGAAGAATCAGAGCCAGGGAAGCACCAGACCACCAATTCCCAACTTGGAGAGCCTCCCCAGCAGGATATCACAGCCAACGGTATCAAAGGCCACCGAGATAGTGAAGAGGACCAACAGAGACATTTTGCCCCTGTCGGCCCCACTCGACAGGTCATAAAACAGGGTGACTAATGCTGTTTCCATTCCATGGCATGGCCTGAAGCCTAATTGGAATGGATCCAGGGCATTGGTTTCATCCAAAAGGACCTAGAGAATTGATGATCAGGGTTGGAATGCGTAGTCCTCTTTGCCCACAGTGCATCATCTGATTGGAGCTGCATCTTACTTTAAACAGTGAATTTTATATATTTGTAGTTAGTATTTAAAATGCTGTTAAGTACCCCAAAAGGCCAGATAATATTTTTCAGAGAAATACATTTTAAGTGAATTTTTTGATGTATTTCTAGAGGTGAAGTTTCAAGACGTGAAGATGTAAAGAAGCGCTCTCTATTCATAAAAGTTCTTTTCAATTCTAAAGAAGTATCAAGAACAGTTTCCCGCCAATTGAGCTCAGATTTCAGAGTTCATTTTGGGCAGATATTCAATCTCCAAATATTCAATTGGCCAGAAAGCTTGAAATTTCAGGTAGGTCATATTTGTCTTTTTGTATAATGTCTTATGCATACAAACCAACACTAATGCCCTGATGAAGACCTGTACATAGCCCCAGGCTTTGTATGAATTGTTGTGTTTTTTTTTCTAAAGTTCAGCCCCTTCCCCCCATGCTGAACAACAGTACTAGAGCAGCTTACAATATTAAAAATAGATTGTTAGAAAACATGGAATCCAGTATAAGCATCAGTAACTTAAATAGTTAAAATGGTTGTTTCCCCCGTCCAGGTAGACACACACAGCTTGATAACTCAGGACTTCTCATAAAGAACATTGGCATTAAATGTTCTTGTACGGGCCTCATACTGCCCAGATCGCAAGCTCAGCTGAAATCACACTATTGCAGGAGATGGTGTCTTTTGCTACAGTGCTTTTCAAAGTGGTGATCTGCAGACTGGTGCTAATCCATGAACTGCCACCCATCAATCTACAGCGAACTGCTAGGGAAAAAAGAAGTATGTTCTTCATCATGGCTTCCATGTGTGCACATAAATGGGTTCTGTGCCTGCATGAACACCAAATCAGAATGTTTTCCCCCTAGCCTGTGCTGTGTGTGTGTTCAGCCTGCTCCTCTCAGTATTGTATTGCCCATTGTTGTAACAGCACCCAGAGACTGCTCCAGAGCTTCATTTTCTTAGAATATTCATAATTATTAATTACTTTTCTTCCTTTTCTCTTTATTTCCCCTTTTTCTCTCCTAAAATAAAAAATGCTATATAGTAGATTTAGTTATTGTGTAGTTCCTGCACCCCACCCTCACTGTTTAACCACCATTTTTTCTTGGTGGTTTATGGGTGTTTCAACTTCAATTGAATGTGCTAGCTGTGGCTCAGAAATCCCTCAAATAGATGGTCACAACCAATGTCTATTTTGTTTAGGGAAATTTCATTTGACTCACACTTCTAAAATTTGTAAGGGATTATTTTTTTAAAACATGGCAATCCCATTTACACTAATTTCTTTGGGGAAAATCACTTAAGGCTACTCAAAGCAGGCAACAGCTGGCCAAAATTTGTTTAAAAACCTAAATTCCCCAATGGGATGATATCTACCAGAGAACAGATCTTGAGATAAAGATACCATAACCTCTGTGGCTTCAAAACTGTCTTTGAAATCAACAAAGAAGACTGACTATGGTAGTAAAATCATAAGACTGCTACCAAAGCTGAAGCCGAAAAGCAGCAGCAGCAGAAGAAGAAACTGGTCTCTGCCATACCAATAGCAGTTCCTACAATTTCTCAGTCACCTGTGAGGGATCCAGTTGCCATTCAGTGTGAACCTATAGAACGTGTTGGCTCAGTATCAGATGGGAAACATTGAAGTCCATTTATCCAAAGTGTTCCTCTATCCTCACTAAAGTTACCATCCCATGGAATTTTCCTAGGAGGCGCTTACCATCTCCAACAATATTGAGGTTGCTCTTGATGTTGAGGACTCCTCGTGAAGGACTCCTCGTCCATTGAGATGCCACACACATCCAAATCCAAATAGGAGGAGGGAATCTAGGAGATCAGTCCATTTTGAAATCAACTCCTGATGTTATTCCTGCTCTAGGTCACCTTCAGTGTGGTCTCAATATCGAGAGGATCAATATTGTGCTCCTTTCTTCTGCCCACCACCTTACTTCTACAGAAATACGGGGTGATAATCACCATCATCATACATGAGTCAATCTCATTCTAGATAACTTATTGATATCATACCAGACAGGATAGATATGAAGCTCAATATGCAGCTCGCAATCAATCATGATCTCACTCCTCAACTCATAGGGAAAGGATGTCAGCACCAAAATCCACCTGATCATCATCTAGACCCCTAACCCCTGGGGGTAGGAAAAAGAGAAGTGCACCAGAGGAAGAATCTTGATTGTCAACACATACAAGATGCCTGATATCACCACCCAAGCACACATCAAAGAAGAGGGACAATATATCTGCAATCTGCCCAGCTCAACCTTAATGTTGGCTACTAACCTGACTATCCATATGATTTTTGTTATACCTACCATGTCCAGTCTTCCCTCTTGGCCCGACCCCAGAATCTTTCTGGACAAAGCACGAGGCTGAAATCAACTTTTAACTAAGATGGAAAAGGATACAAGTGACACTAGATTCTGATGCTGAATGCACTGAAGCTTCAGTGACATTGCTAGATCCTCACCTGACTCCAATGTGCAGGATTATGCCCCATTGTCTTCTTCTAAAATCTGTTGTCATATAATGACCTGATTGAATGGCAAAATCATTATAACTAGCAGTTTCAAAGTCAATTCAATTTCCTAAATTTTCCATTTTTCCAGAATTCAAAAGAAAACTAACATCCTGTTGTGCTGGAAACACTGACTGATTTGATTAGAAGGTTGTGGCAGAAACCATGTATCATTCCACTGAAATCCAGACAAATTAAGAACTATTACAGAGTACAATAAGAAGGAGTAACATTCTTATTCAAACATTCCACTACAAATTCTATCATAGTGTAGACTATGCAGATCAAGGACTCCAGAGGTGCCCCATCTAAAAGACAGGAAGAAATTAGATCTTTTAGCTAGGGAAGTTTATTCTCTGGCAGCTGTTCATATACACATTGCTAATTATCAGGCAATGATGGGCACTTCATTTGGGAGATATTCCAGCTGTTTATTTCCTGTTTCTCGCACAATAAAAAGTCACTTACCCAGTCTTTTCAACAGGAGACATTGCCTTGCAGGTCAGCAAATTCATTGCACTTGACTGTGCTGCAAAAAGTAGGGCAGTGAACATTACCCTTAGATGATATGCTTGGCTAAGATGTTGTGGACTCACTGATTATTCCAAATCTGGGGGAGATGGGATGAATCGTAACAGAAGTTCATCCCTCACTGAGCTAAATTTAGCAAGCATGGCTCAGCGAACTTTAGATGGGGAGATTATGCAAGCATTAGAACAGAGATTTGTGACTCAAAGAGGAGCAAGGCCAAAGATTACCGGCAGTTCCAGTGTTTCTTTTCAACTACCCAGTGGATTACAAAAGGGCAGCTTAATGTCCCATTTTCCTGAGGATACCATACAAAGGATACTTGCAGAGGATCCAGACCAGACCTGGAGTAGATTGAGAGAGATGGAGACCCAAGAAGAGCAGCAGGAGGACGTTGGGAGGGAGGAAGTTCCAGTCCAGACGGGCCTGCCAGCTGGTGTAATTCCTGAGGATGTCCAAACGCCTGTGGGAGATGCTTTGGCAGATGCCAGCAGGAATGTTTCTGATCAAAGGAGCCCAAGTTTACAAGGAGGTGATCAGCTAACGCTCATGATGGCCGACTTCATGGCTTGTCAGCGATAGTGGGTGAATGCTCAGCGTGCTGGTGAGTTGTTGTCACAAGAATACAGAAAATAACTTGCTTTATTACGTAGAGAGACTTTAGAAAGAGAATGTGTCAAGGACTCTTTAGAGAGCATTGACAGAAAGAATTTGCCTTATTACCAGGAGGGCGATGATGTTTTATCTTTTTTGACGAATTTTGAAATGGCTTGTAGGAATTTGAAGGTGCCAATTCAGCTGTATGTTAAATTGCTTCGTACACAAATCTCAGGACAGTTATCTGTAATTCTAGCAAGACAAGGAGACAGAGAAATCTCCTGGGATGATTTTAAAAATATTGTGCAGCAGAGATTCGGGTTTACACCTGAAATTTTGCACCAGAGATTTAGAAAAGTTAAAAGGAGTTACCAGGAAAGTTATTCTGCACTGGCAGACAGAATTGAGCAGATGGGTGATCAGTGGCTTGAGTCCACAGGAGTTAGAATGTTTGCAGAATTGAAAAGGTTCTACGTGGAACATTTTATGAACTTGGTACCATCAGAGATAAAAAGTACTTTGATGGAGAGCAATTATCAAGATTTGCAGACTTTGGCTTTGAAAACTGATGAGATACAGTGGTGCCTCGCACAACGATGTTAATTGGTTCCAAAAAACCCCCGTTCTGTGAAACATCGTTTTGTGAAACACCATTTCCCATAGGAATGCATTGAAAACCGGTTAATCCGTTCCAATTGGCTTTCAATGGAGAAAACAAAAATTCACCAAAAATTAATGACGCCTCAGAACAACACCAAATTAAGTTTGCTTACGTTTCACAAGCTGGACTATCGATGCCAAGCATTTAAAACAGGTTTCAAACAGTTTAAGGCACTTTTACAGGAGCGAAAAGGGACATCGTTGTGCGAAAATTCCCCATAGGAAACATCGTTGTGTGAGGCGGCAAATTTTTCGGGAAAAGCCATCGTTGTGTGAATTTATCGTTGTGTGAGGCACTCGTTGTGCGAGGCACCACTGTACTGTCTTTTAAGAGAACTTAACCTGGTGCTAAGCATAAGCCTATCTCAGAAACTCCTAGAAAGCAAAGTATGATTTTAAGAAGCCTGCAAAGCCTGCCTTTCAGGAAACCAGGCAAACTTCATTAGGGGAGCACAGAGGCAAGGCTCCTAGCCAAAATAAGCCACCTTTCCAATGTTTTGAATGTGGGGGAGAACATTTAAGAAAAGACTGTCCAAAACTGAATGTGCCAGCTAGCAAAACCCCTACTCCTGCTCCACGCAAGGTGAAGCAAAATACTCCTAAGGTGACATATCTAAGCTCTACCCCTCTGGACAGCCAGCAATTGCAAACAGAAAGCAGTTCAGTTCATGTTATTAACCAGTCAAGCCTTTTGCCTACACAAGGACAAGAAGGAGTTAACCTAATAGAATCTCCTTCTCCAGCCAGCGGAATGCAGGCAGCTGTAAATCAACTTGTTCCTAGAATTTTGGGGTTGGAAATTGCTGAAATATCAACTGAACCTGTTAAACAAGCTGAAAGAGAAGCTAAGTTCACAGTGGTGGACCCTTGTTCTTTAGTGTCTGAGGCGCAACGTATTTGGAGTACAGAAACATTTACAGAGACTATAGATTTGCAAACTTCTGATCGTGTTGTTACCTTGAGTGTGTCACGCGACA